TTTATGGGGTTGGTCCATGTACATAATTCTAGTCTCACTTTTGATGGTTTGGAATAGCTTCTAATTTTCCCCACATATATCAACATCTTTTATGTTCAGTACTTTTTCATTCTGAGGATTCGTTAGATCGTGAGCATTTTTCTCAGTTCTCAGCTCTGGAAAGCAAGCTTTCAGTGGCAGGATTGCAATAGCAGGCACGTTTTGCTCCTGTAGCCAAAGCCAGTGACCGCCGTTGCCAGGAGCTCCTTGCCCTCTCTGGTCACTTCCTTGGGAAAGATTCCAACAAAAGGAGTTGCCAGGATACAGGGGGATGCTATGGCGAGCACTGTGCTGTGAGCTGCTAGATCTCTTCCAGAAAATTGGCCTGTTCACCCTTTTGTACAGGTCTGCAACTACTTCTCTTTCCTGTCTCTTTAGCAAATTTTTAAAAATTTTGTTTTACAGACCAAAATATTATGATTTTATTTTTATTAACAAAATCAAACATTTCCTGAGTCTTTAAAAACCATTTATATTTCATATTTTGTCAGTTGTCTTGCCACTTAGCCCATTTCTGGTTGGAATATTGGTCCATATTGATGAGAAAATATATTTCAGAAAAAATAAGTTAATACTTGTTAACTGTTCAGAATCTTCACTAGGGTTATATTTTAGGAACTCTTATGTCTTTCTAGACTTGTTCATGGCATTTTTATTGATTGATTGATTGATTGATTGATACCGGGGATTGAACTCGGGTCCTTGAGCTTGTGAGGCAGTCGCCAGAACCACTGAGCTAAATCCCAGCCCCTTTGTTCATGGTATTTTTAATGCATAGTAGTTAAATAATAAAATTAATAACAAATAGACTGTTATAAAATCTACCAGTCTTTTCTGTAGGTAGCTCCTCCCACCCCTTAGTTTTTAATCCGTGCAGAATTGCATCTCCACACGCAAAGAATCTACTTACTTCCAATATTTCTTTATGATTCTTGTTTTGAATTTTATTTTCATTATTGTTGAAAATTGTTTCCCTTGCCCCTCATTTATTTTCCAGCCTCTTTAGAAATTTCATTAGTTTGATGAATATTTCTCTACTCTAGTAAGTTAGCCAATTTGCTAATCCTTTAAAGTAATATGAATTGTATTTCTTGCAGTCTGTCCTTAGAATGTACAGGTACAAAGAAATAATCTGCCAGAGTTTCTGTAGCCACTGCCTGTTTGGTTGTTGTTACTGTTTTGTTTTCCTTTCCCTGTTTTAATGGGAGGTATAGTGATCAGTACTGTGGGGGAACATGGACACATCCTCAGAGCCTGTGCCTCTCTATGTAATCTTGGCTGGAAGATTCCTAGGACATCAGCACAGAATGTTCCTGATGGGAGAGGTAGGGCCGAGAGGCGAGGCTACGATTATGAGATGGGACTGTGACTTGAGTGCTTTATGATCTTGTTAAACCTGTTGATGAAGGGTTAGTGTGCTTGTTGAAGAACTGTTTCCATTGTTCTCTAGGGAACGGCCTTGAGGGAGCAGGAGTTAAGTAAGGAGAGTCATGTATGAGTTCAGGAGAGCGGGCATGACTTGGCCTGCTCTTGCCATGAAGCTCCACCCCAGACAGTTTAATCAGGGAATGGGTTTCAGTTTCCACATAACAGAAACCACCTTGTGCATTTCAGAGATAAGGATTGAATACAGGGAAATGGGACTTGCCAAGTTGCTGGGGCAGCTGCAGACTGGGCCACTGGATGGATTGTCAGTAGAGAGCCCTAGAACAAACCTGCCAGTGTCTCAGCTGGGTTTCTGGGGATCAGGAAGTCACTGTCTCTAAGACATATTTTAGCTTTCCAGTCCATACTGCAGGAGCACATACAAGGAGGCTGGAATCCTAGGTGATGAGGAAAGCTTGTCACACCTGTGCCATGTGGGTTGTCCATGACATCAGCAGGGCGGGGGCATGCTGTAATCAGGATGTATTGGAATGTATCTGGTGGTGTCAGAGACGGACTTGATGAGAAGAGAAGAGAGGGTAAGGAGAGAGAGGTGAGCAGGGTAATGTTGGAGACAGAACCCATTACATTAAGCCTTGTTCTGCACTTTTTAGATCATTATACCTATCAGCCTGTTTCAAATTTTAAAAATTCAGAGACTTTGCTCTGACCAAGTACCTATCTTCCCTGTAGCAATGTGAATGACCAGGAAAACTGGGCCATCTCAAAGTTTCCTCATACTTTTGATATTCTTCAGGGGAGTTCTTTAAGAGATAACATTCTGTTGGAACCTATTCTATTTTCCTGGTACATTTTTGTCAATACCGAAAGTGGAAGTCAAACAAGGGAGCCAGCTCAGTGGACTCCCCCAGCCCTGCCCCACTTGGCCAAAAGGAATGCACCTCTGGGTGGCCACTGCTCTCGGAAGGGTGTTGTTTTAGGTGGATCCCGGGCACAAGTAAGCCTTATTCTGGGGAGCCTGTTGGGGCCTCCCACTCATGTTGTTGACTCAGATATACTGTCCATTCTCACGTCTAATTTAGGATGGTTTGAGACACCTGGTGGCTGCTTTGGCCTGGATACCCTGGCCCAATGCACCCTAGGGCAGGTGGATGCCCACAGGCTGAGAGCAGGGTTGCCAGCCAACACCTCTACCCAGGCTTCCTTTCCTCCTGCCCTCGGGAACAGTTCAGTCTCCTCTACAGTTTTAATTTCCCACTTTCACATTGTTAATTGATAGGGGTCGCGTGGAGGTGACCACTGAACAACTTACTAGAGAACAACTAAATGGGGTCTTGGCTGCCCAAGGCCAAGTGTAATAGTTGTTCGGATCGCTGAGCTGAGTATTGGCCACTTCCTCCACTCCGCTGAATGCTTTTATTAAAATCTTGTGTCTCCTAGCCATTTAATAAAAGTATAATGTATTCCTTTGCATCAGTTAACCTCAATAAACTGGGAAGTCTGGGTGGAGACGCGAAGGTGTGTGAAAGCACAGTGAATAATAGAGAAGGCAGCTGGTGCATCGCTGCATGGCAGCAACCTGGGGTCAGGGCTTGCTTCTCTCCTGCCAAGCATGTGCCAAGCTAAGGTCCACACAGGTGCGGTGTGACCAGGAGATGAAAGCAGACAGGTGTGTGATGTCGCTCCCCCCATGTCAGCCGAGCCGAAAAGCAGAATGAGTGCACGCGTGCTGTTCCTGAAGATGCTGCAGTGCACATTTTAAGATGAATCTACATTCCTGAAGCTAGCAATAGGTTGCACACCAAGGGGTATTTATTATTAAAAATCCATACCTGTGAGCTTTGGTTTTCCAGGGTTGCCTCCAGAATCACACGTAAGTCATCTTTGGGCTTTCAGTCCTGCTCTTGCAGCTTGCAGTAGTCTTGTGTGTTTTGTGTGGGGTTTGAGCTTCTCCCTGCTCTTGGAAGTTGACTGTTTCAACCCCTCCCAGGATGGTGAAGTTCTGGGATTTTGTTTTCACAGTGGCAGGGAAGGGGAGGCAGGATCGCTTGGAGGTCCCCAGAAGTAAGGAAAGTCAGCCAGGGGCCGTCAGGATCACAGGGCTGGCTTGTTAAGCCCCACAGCTCCGACATCCCCAGGAGTTCCAATGGCGTGGATCTGGTCCAGGGCCCAAAAATTTGCATTTCTTGCTAGTTCCCAGGTGGTGCTAATGCGCTGGTCCCTGTGGCTCTGGAGCAGATGTTGAGGCCTCTGGAGTGGTCATGGAAGGGAGTTAGCCCTGCAGAGAACCCCGTATCTGAACTCTCCCAAAGATTCTGCACGACCAGCAGTGTCCCTCAGCCCCAGACACGTGAACAAACCCAAGCTGTCCTGTCCCCTTGTGCTTATGTCCCTTGGTCCCTTTCTTCCTCAGCCTGGAAATTTGGATCCCTCTGGAACCACATATGTTGGGGGAATAGGTCTCTGTCCCAGGTCTCTGGAAACTCGAGCCACCTCAGGTCACCAGCTGGCAAGTGTCACCAGGAGTCCAGGGCAGTAGTGGAAGCAGCATGACAGCAGCACCTTCCAACTCCCTCCAGACCCAGGCCTTCCTCTGCTGCCGCCACCTTGGCTGCACCCAAATCCCACTGTAGCAGAGACAGCCACGGAGCCCAGGAGCTCCGTCAGGCTTCTCAGAAGCCTGAAAACAGAGGTGGGACTGAGCTTATGAGGGTCCCCTGCATTCCAGCTGGGCCTGAGAGTAGACAAGAGCAGGGGCAGACACATGTAGAAAGGCAGGGCTAGGCCTCCCAACCCAGAGGAGAGCTGTGTGTGGACCTGGGTGCCTGGTCCACACTTGGGAACACGTCACCGAGAGAGACAGCCCAGGATTCTCTCTTGCTTCTGCAAATGGAAGAGAAAGTGAAGACTTGTTTTGATTTTCCTTATTAAATAATACAACTAAACTGTACAAAATAGGATAAATGTTGTATTTACTCATTGACTGGCTTTCTCTCCAAGTAGCCTGGTTCAATTTATATTGCAAAACCCAAGGGGCATTCAGAAGGAAAAACAAGAATGTTCAAGTTATTGCAGTGTTCACTATTCACTCTTGCCTTGTTTTAAAGATTATAGTTTGGGGAGTCTTATGGAATAAAAATGCCAGAACCCCTTCCCTGTCTCCCTGTTGTTATAACGCCCAGTGCAGAAAGTGGGCAGGGCTGCCCCACCTCCTGGAGGGTTGTAGCAGCTGTGCTGGTAATCAGGGGTCAGACATGCCCACCTCCTGGCTGTCCCCCTCTCCTTCCCTTCCCTGTGGTGGTCAGGACAGAGGGAACGCATATCCCCAGATTTCATGCACCATTCCTTCAAGCCTTAGATAATTCATTCTAGGCCAAAACACTATATTTCGATTTGTGGGCAAATGGCATTTCTCATTGGACTTTCAAAAACATTGACAAGATGCCTAGAGGTCTGTATGGCGTGGCCCTCAGGATGGTGCCGTGGTCCTTGCAGGGTTATTGCATTGCCCTTGTGATTGCCTGCGACTCGCTCTGTGTATGTCTCTGATTTATTCTCTATTTGCCCCTCTCTAGTGGGATCTTGTGTGTGACAATGCCTGGAAGGTCCATATCGCTAAGTTCTCCTTACTGGTTGGATTAATCTTTGGCTACCTAATAACTGGATGCATTGCTGATTGGTGAGTACAAGCGCGCCTGCCACAGAACCTTTGGAAGCCACACAATGCTTTTGCTGGCCACGGAGACGTGGCCCATGCTAGCGCACTGCCACTGTGTCTTTTCTCTGCCCTGGTGTTGATGCCAGAGCTGAAAGCTGAAGCTGCTGTGTGGTGAATGCAGGACTAAGAGAGCTGGCCAAGGCACATAGCAGACTGCTTAGGAATGAAAATATAAATATATGCAATTCTCTAGCTGCTACAATCCAGCAAAAGCAGCCCGCAGCCTTATGTAGTACTGAATATTTAGGAAGAGCTTGATGACTAGGTGCAGAGCTCTATGGGCTGGAACTGAGTGGGTGGATCACCAGATGCATTAAAGAGCAAGGGTTGGAGGTGCACAGGAGCAGCGCATTCACCTGTAGTCCCAGCAGGACACTGAGGTAGAGAATTACTTGAGCCCAAGATTTTGAGATCAGCCCTGTCTCAAAAAAATTTTAAAAAGGTAAAATTAGGAGGGGAGCTAGAGACCTCTCACTTACAGGAACAGAAGGGGAGGGCGGTGTTGATCAGCATCTCAAAATGTCGCACCCATTTGGAGACAGTCTTTGGAGGTGCCTCTCTGAGGTGTATGGGAAGGAAGACTGGAAGATACCAGCATTTGGATAATTTCTGGGGATTGCAGACAGAGGAAGGGAGGAGATAGAGGTAAGAATGAACGTGCACCCTTGGGTGGGCACCTAGGACACAGTGTGGATGGAGATCAGGATGGACAAGGTGGCAGAGGTATTAATGACAATGACGATAGCAATAGCATCCAGCACGTCCTGATTGCTTTGTGCCAGCCATGGTGATGGACCATCCCGTACATTCAAAGGTCCCATCCTCACATAGCTGATTAGGTAGGTGCTGTTACTGCCTCGGCTTCCTCATTGAAAAGCTAAAGCACAGAGGCTGAAGTCAATCCCCAAGCTCATCCAGCTTTAAACTGGACTTGACACCGAGCCACATGGCCCCAGAGCTGCGTACTGTAGTGCTCTCGCCCTCCCTCAGGGCTCTCTTGGTCACGAGGGCGCCAGGGCGCTGTGCCCCAGCTAGGGGACAGCTGCACAGTGTAAGCCACCCAGGGCCAGAGGGGTGGCATTGCTGTTTCCCCATCTGCTCTCTTCAGAGGAATCTTTTCTGTCATTTTCTGTGCTGTGAATCAGCACATCTGGGGCCTGAGGACCCTGGGGCTGAGGTGGCGGGGAGCAAGTGCGCGTCTGCAATGTCCTCTGTGCCAGGCTAACGGCCAGATTGGGGTGTGTTGGGGCGGGGCTGGGAAGAGTGTCAGAGAGTTCTGAGGCCACTTTAAAGTGGTGGAAATTTCCTTCCTGAAGCTTGTGTCTATTTGCGAGTTCTTTGCGCTCGCATATAATGTGATTTCCTGTGTGCCCAGAATCTGCTGAGTCATCATTTCTGAATGCTTCCTAGGGACACAGGCCCCGCGGACAGTCACAGAAAAGCCGCCAGCGAGCTCTGGAGACCCATACCAGGGCCTCTTTGGCTTTTTGTTTTGTTTTTGTTTTTTGAGAATAGAAGGAGGAATTTTATTTAACCAAAGATTTGAGTTCATGGGTTTTCAGCATAAGATATATTGGCCTAAAAGATACTATTTGCCAGAAATCTTCATTAAATTGAATTAAGTAGATATATACTACTGTGATCTCTGTCACCATCTTCCCAAAAACTGCAGACTTGATGGAGTTTTAATGTCCTTATTCGGTAAGTGATTTAATAGAAAAGTCAGCATGGGCTTTATTAATGAAATGGTCTATGAAGGTATAAGTTCCTTCAAGGTTGTTTTGTGATGTCTCCTTCTTGCATACACACTTTGAGTCATCTCCCTGATCATATCAGACCTGGAGACCAAGGACTGGAGAGTTTGGGGCCCATTCTGTGAGTCTCCAGGAGTCTCATGCTGTCAACCCACTGAGCCACTGTCATCTTTCCCAGGGTCCACAGACAACAGGCCACCGGGTGGGTCCGGGGGTCAGGGCAGCTGCTCTCGTGGCTTTTGGGACATTTTGAGCAGCCCTCTTTCAGTTTGGAAGTTTGGTGTTTTCCAACTCCATTGGCTTTTGGAGGGGGATGGGTATTTTTTAAATTGACATTTTACTCCTTGCTTAAAAGGAGGGGAACTCCAGAGCTCGTAGCTTGGAGCTGGCTTCCTGGCTGCAATGGGGAAGTTGACCAAAGTCACAGGATGAGCTTTCAGAGGCTTCAGTCATCACATTTGAACTTAAATAGTGCCCTGTTTTCTTCTGAAGCTTGTTTCCCACTCGGACTTTGTCTGGGGAGACCCAGCAGGTAGCACTATAAGGCTCGGTAGGCAAGTGGTGGAAGAGATGCCAAACAGAGGCCCCTGTGCCTTCCCTCGGTTGCTCCTCACAAGATGTCCTGCTTTTGTAACCCCAGCAATGGGTCACGTCAGAGGGCCCAGCTCTTCAGCTCCTGGAGACCTTGGGAACACAAGCTGCAGACCCCCAGGGAAGATGAGGGCAAGCTCTTCAGGGAAGGACACCCCAACAAGGGCCCCTCTATGGGCCTGTGACAGTCTCTTCTTCCTGAGCTCCTTGCTGCCAAGAGCTGTGAGGTTGGACATTGTCCCTTGAGGGGTTTCTTCCAGCGTGACCACTCTGTGTATATAATCCCTCTATGCAATTCTGCAGTGACTTTGAGTGACTATTTCTGGTTGAGACCCCACATCCTTTCCTGATGCCTGCTGTCACAGATTACTGCAGGCCCAGTGGCTTCCACAACACAGATGAACCATCTCATAGTTCTGTGGGTCCCAGGCCCAACAGGGGTCTCCCTGGGCTGAAGGCAGGGAGTCAGCAGGCAGCACTTCTTCCTGCAGGCTCTGGGATGGTCCTTTCCTTGCTTTCCCCGCCACTGGACTGGCCTGTGTTCTGGGGCTCATGGTCCCTCCCTCCACCTTAGGGCCCTCGTACCACCCACTCCCAGCTTCCCTCAGTCAAGGGGGTCCTCCTTGTAATTAGGTAGGTCCCACCTGCAAAACACTTTGTCTCCAGGTCCCTAATCTTAATCCCATGTGCAGAGTCCACTCTGAGGATTGGGAGGACATGGATGTCTTTAGGGCCTGTTACTCTGCCTACCACTGATCCTGAATAACCAAGGCCTCGCTCTGCAGACTGAGGAGTGGGATTTTGTCATCTCTGAGGGGATATCACCCTGGAGAGCCATCACGAGCAAAATTTCCAGGGCTGTAACTTGTAGTGAATGCTCACCCACACGTGTCTACACTCTACAACAGCCCTGCTAGGGAGACATTAACTGGCCCAAGAAAAAGGATCACAAGGCTCCCTAGAACAAGCTTGATTTTTCCCAACACCACATCTTTTAGGAGTGATTTGAGCTTGGATTTAAAACCAGGGCATTCCAACTTCAAAGACCACAGATCAGTCCCTGATAACAAGGTTTACTTACTGATTTCAGCAACCATTTGGGAGGAGGAACTTAGAATGGCTTGTATAAGATTTAAAAATCAAGCTCTTTTCTAAAAGGTACCAGAACAGGTAAATCACACATGGTGGGCATCAGGGGTGTAGAAACACAGGAAGGGAGAGAGCTCAAACATTTAGGTGTTGTGTTCGCACCGTCATCCTCTTTCCTGAAAGGCCTCAACAACCTGCACAGTAGGGTACTTATCCCCACTGTATCAGTGAGGTAGGTCAAGGTCAATAAAAGTGGATATCAGATTTTATTGTTTTCCTTCATTTTAGAGAAAACTGAGTCACATAAATTTATATCTGTAAATGAGCTGGATATGGACAGAATCATCTGGTAAGGTCTTTCTGGGTAAGGACTTCATGACCATAGCAAGGGTGAGAGGTAAAAGAAAGATCTCCACACCAGTGATTTACATTGTTTTGAGCTCATAGCTTTGATCTCATTTCCCAAAACCAAAGCGACTAATTGAGATGGTTAGGAGTTTGGAAAGTCCTGAAGGAAAAGCTCCCTGTTATTCCTGCTCCCACATTTTCTTAAAATTGCACCCATCTCCTTCATAGAGTAAGACTATGCTTTACCAAATATCACTCTTTAAAAAAGAGAGAAAATTAAGAGAATTCCTATGCCATAAAACTCACCCATTTGAAGCACAAGATTCCATGAGTTTTAGCATATTTACAGAATTATACAAGCATTGCCCTAAGTTCGAAGCATTTCTGTCCCTTTAAAATAATGCTGTAAATGTGCTCTCCATTCTCACCCCCAATCCTGGGTGACCACAAATCTACCTTCTGATTCAGTAGATTTGCCTTCTCTGGGCATCTTCCTCTTCCAGTAAGCCATTTGGACACCCTAGGTGACATTTAGGGTATCAAGCCTGGTTCCCCACCACCACCACCACCACCTCTTTTTTTGTTCTGGCAAATAGCGTCCACTCTGCCCAGTTTCTCTGAGGCCTCCCCTGCAGTCCCCAGTTGATACATATTAGTCTGATGAGTTACTGCCACTGTTTTATCTGGAGTGAGTTAGGGAAGAAGAAGAAAGTTAATATGGGAAGATGGGGAACAAGAGGTTTCCCCATCCTTTGGACCCCACTGCCCTGCCAGCCCCCCAGAAACACGTCACCCCCTGCTGGTCCCCAATCCTGGCCTGGCCTGAAGGGTAATCTGTGAACTCTGTGTGACTGCTGTTCCTCCAGTGTGCTTCACCCCGAGCATGCTGGCAGTCCCACACCAGTTATTTAAAGTTCAGATTAGGTATCTTGGCCTCGCATGTGATCCCTTACAAATCACACTGCCAGTCGTGTAGCTACAACACACTGGCAGCTGGCTTGGCGTTGGCTCTGTAGGCTGCCTGTGAGGTCAGGTAACTGTCTTAGTGAACAACCTGGAGAGCGGAAGTAAAGCTGCTTCACTTCATGCCCTTTCTGACTTTCCAGCCAGTTCCAAAGGTCAGCAGTTTCTCAAGACATTTTATGCTGGGCACGTCTAGCTCTCTGCTTGGGAAGTTATTACTGATTCTGTTCCTCTTGCTTTGAATCACCCCTGCTTATACGCAGAAATAGACGCAGCAGCAGGAATTGCATTCATGTCTCAGTTCTCTTACCCAGTTGCTACTTGATCTCTGCTCCCTTAGACCCAGGGCTTGGAGTAAATGTCCCCTTGCTGCCCCAGTAAGTAGTCCATGAGGTAGTGAAGTGGGTCTAAATAGTATGAAGGCTTTTCATCCATATGTATTCAGCATATACGGAGCATCTGCTGGATACTGGGTTTCAGCATCTACCATTGCCATCTTGCTTAACGATGATTCTCAACTTTTTCCTTCTCCATCTGCAGGGTTGGCCGTCGGCCTGTGCTGCTGTTTTCCGTCATCTTCATTCTGATCTTCGGACTGACCGTGGCGCTCTCAGTGAATGTGACAATGTTCAGCACACTCAGGTTCTTTGAAGGATTTTGCCTGGCTGGAATAATCCTCACCCTGTATGCGATACGTAAGTTGGAATCTTCATGACTGTTTCGTAGAAGTCTGCCAAATTATTCTTGCCTAGGAGGTTCTGGGAAAGATGCTGCATGCTAGTTGGGACAGCAATCTTTCAGAAGCACAGACTTTAGAGGTCTGGATGGTTGTGGAAGAAGATTTTTAGGCAACGCCATCCAACATTCATGTAGCTTGTACCTCCAGCTTGGGCTCAGTGTGTGACAAAGGATGGATGTGTTGGGTCTCATGATGGCCTGGTGTTGAGGGGATCTGCGCAGAGCAGATATGGAGTGGCTTTTGCTCCCCCACAGAATTTTTCATATTTACAATCTGTGCGCTTTCAAATCCAGTAAGTAATTGAGTTTCCCATACTAGTTCCAGAAGAGCACACCAAGTTCCTATCACTGTGTGTCTGACTGAGCACGACTGACACCTTATGACTTTTTCTACTTCTTTTTCTCACAACCATAGAGTCCAAATTTTCCACATTTCCATGTGACCTTAGGTAGCCTGCAACTGAACTCTAAATGTTAAAGTAAATGTCAGGATTTGGCAGTATTTGCATTTTTTTAAAAAAAGGTGAAATATATTTTCTTCCATTGATCTATCACATTTGTTGGCCATATTAACTCTCCTGTCAATGCTTACATTTCAGTTATTTGTAGTTTATCTTCTAGAAGACAACTGCATACCATAAAGAGGAGAGTTTCAGGCATGACTGTTTTAATTATTAGGTTTTTATACCTCACTCACCACGCAGAAGGATCTCTGGGTACATTGTATGATAACATGATATATTTGGTCTTTCTGCCTCTAATAACATGGGTAGAAGTTGAGTATAGGTTGTATAGCAATTTCCGACATTATAAAATAAAAATAGTTTGTTTCTCTTAAATTTGCATATTAAAGTTTTCTTCAGGTGACCTTAATTTTCATTCCACTAGAAGTATAAGCAGTACGTGCCATGGGTTTTTAGCCACAAGGAAAGGATGAGCCTGAGAAGGAGTATATTCTTCTAAATCTGTAGTTTGTAATTTTGTCTCTTATTGCAACATTTAACTGAATTGCAGTTTCTTTTTCAGTTTGTTTTTATGCCTTGTCCCTTGGACAGTTCTTTTAAGACAAATGTGTGACTACATTGGCTGGTTGAGATGGTGGTGTCTTCAACTTTGTTTCTTTGAAGAAAAATTAAAAAACATAGGTATTGGGCTTGAGCACTCCCAGACACCACACCTGCGATGCTCTCTGTGGCTCTGACCCCTGTCAGCCTGTGCAGTGGAGCAAGCAAGCTGTCCACTCTGAGGAGACGAGAGTCCCCTGTGGGGCTTTCTCTCCAGGCTGCCAGCCTGCCAGGCTCCAGTTGTCCCGGGAAGATGACAATCTGGTCCTCCCACAGGACCTGCCACTAGAGGGGACAACTCTGCTCATTGCTGAAATAGAACAGCTGTGCTTCAGGCACACAGTGGACAGTGCAATTTCAACCTCCCCACCACAGGCAACAGAGCGCTCAGGGAAAATATCCTGAGAGCATAGATGCCATATTGGTCTTGTCTTGCATGCCAAGGGCTAATGATTGGTTGAAGCTGCCAGAGGACTGGGAGACTTTGGAGGACACTTGAGGACTCAGCAGCAGAGAGCACCTGAACCCATTCTCCATGTCCGCAGGGCTGAGGAGAGTGAGTAGGGAGGGGCTGCACATGCTGGTTGACATTTGCAACCTGCAGACACTGTTCCTGAATTAAGCCAAGCCAGGTGTGAAGCCTTACACTGATTCCTTGTACTCACTTGTGTTATGACAGCGTCATCCCAGAGGCCATGTGAAACTTATTGCTATTAAAAAAATGATGCTAATCCCAGCACTCGGAAGGCTGAGACAGGAGGATCACTGTGAGTTTGAGACCAGCCTGGGCTACATAGTGAGTTTCAGGTCAATCTCAACTACATAGTGAGACCCTGTCTCAAAAAAACCAAAAAAAAAAAAAAAGATGCTGAAGATGTTTATTCATTAGATGACATAGTGCACTCTTCAGAGTAGAAAGTTCTACTTCAGGGCTACACGAGTATGCTTATCTGGGCAGCGCATCCTATAGCCCAGGCATTTATACATTTTCTTCTGTGAATGGCCAGGTAGTAAATATTTTAGGCCCTGTAGTTTCTAGGGCAGCTACTCAACTGCCACTGTAGCATGAAAGTGCCATAAATGATATGGGGATGAATGGATGTGTTTCAATGGCTGTGTTTTAATAAAACTTTATTTACAAAGCAGATTTGTCCTGGGGGCTAGAACTTTTCATCCATGTATTGTAAAGGGCTCATGTGTGAGCCTGACAACACAAGCTTTAAATTCTCAACTCCCTTCCTAGTTCCATCTTAACTTCCATACTTTTTTATCCCAGTTTTCTATGTCCATCATATGTGTTATTTTATTGAATGTATTTGTGTAAGCAGCTTTAATTTTGTCGGCAGTAAAATAAGATATTAGAAAAGGTTGCGTTTTCTTAAATTTGGTGTTTCAGCCATGTCTGGCTGTCCCGCAAATCCTTACACAGTCATAGGTGGGTTTTTTTCAGTGGTGGCTGGATCTAAAGTGTGTGTCACTAGGATTGATTCATGGTGCACTGCTAGGATCAAGGCCACTAGGATTAAACATGGGAGTGATGCCCGCCCTAAGTAGCCTGGGTAAGATATAAGGGACAGAAAGAGCTGTGGTTGTCCTTTGCTTGCTTTGCTACCTTGTGCCCACCATGAACTGTTTCTCCTCTGCGATGTCTGTCTGCCCGCCCAGTGCCACCATGCCTGGGAGCCAGCCAGTTATGGACTGAAACCTCTACAAACAGTGAGCTCAATCAACCTTTTTTGGGTGTTGGGTATTTTGTCTCATCCATGAAAAAAGTAACTAGACATTTGAACTAGCTTTAATACCATGTCAAATCCCATTGCGATGAAGGTGACCAAGAATCAACCAGTGGCTCACTGTCTGAGCTAATAAAGTTCCTGGGATATCACCATTAAAATAAGGCAAAAGAATATGGAGGATGACTTGGATTTCATCGAGACAATATTTAAACAGTGAGACTTAGGCTGAATTGATAGAGAGATGGCAGAGGAGACATGTTTGGCAAGGAAGAATAAAAAAAGAACCAAAATCACAGTGGAAAGACAATATGGGTGGGCTGGGGCGGGTGGCCACAACAGTCTTGGAAGATGTCAGGTGGTGACAGGAGACATATTCCAGTCAACCGGGCAAGTGACTATACATTTCCAGTTGGTGTGCTTGCTATCATTTTATATACAAGTAGTATGTATGCTTAGGTAAAACTTGGGAATTTGTTTTGCTTAAAGGACATTACTGATAAGCTAGGTTACAGTAATTTTTAAGTCTAAAGAAAACTTTAAAACTCTGGATCTTGATTCTTTGGAAGTTATATTTTTAATCGTCCACAATTTTTCTCCTCCTTGGACCAGAAGTTTTTTGTTTTAAGTCTCACTTAATCCCCTTTCTGGAAAGGCCTGGCCTTTCTCTGAACAGGTCTGGACACCATTGCTGTTTTAATCCTAATATAAGCAGGAAAGTAACGATTTTTGCTGTTTTGATTTCTCGTGTAGCTTACCACGAAAGTGGACTCTTCATTTCAAGAAATGCTGCTGACTTGTGAAAGTTTTCTGCTTTATTTGCAAGTCTGACTAAGGTCTTTATTTTTTTCTCTGCTTTGGATTTTTTTCTTTGGTACATTGTGGTTAAATATTCTACCCTTTAAACTTTTGTTTTCTTCAGCTTGTCAAAGAGAGAAGTGGTTGTATAATTAGGGCATAAATTAGAGATTATTGGCCTCTTCCCAAAGAGTCTTTACACAGAAGCAGATGTACATCGGCAAGAGCAAGAGAGAACAGGCCGAGCTGAGTGAGTTTATGTGGGGCCACAAGTGCTGGTTCCTCTGCCTGCTTCTGAGACACTGAGATAATTCAATACACATGGGTTTCCTCAATGGCTTCATTTTATCTTTACCTCTGGACACACACACACACACACACACACACACACACACACGCGCACAGTAGAATACTCAATTTAACCAGTCAGGGGCATAGACCAAGAAAAAGAAGCAATAGGTCACACTTCCCTATTTGTTGATGAAAGCAAAGTCATACCAAAGACTAGAGAAATCATCACTTCTCCACTTCAGCAGACCTGGCCCAATGGTATGAATCCCTTCCCCAACCAGAGTTTCTAATATCTCAGAGAAGGAAATGCAGCACTGTTTAGGATGAGTCTTTCTCCCGAAGAAGCCTCAGGCCTAGTGGCCCACACTTTCCCAATTGGAGACATGAATAATACCTTCTGCCGACAGGGAGACCTTCCTTTAGTGTAGCCAAATGGACAGAATTTTCTTTATTTCTTTTCTTTTTTGCTTAACAACAGACTATTTCTTTTGAAAGAGTCTCTCAAAGATGTTCTCATTTTAATAACTCTCCTTAAACCTAGGCAGCCTGCATAATTGGATGAATTTTACATGTAATCAAGGAGTGACCTGAAATTTCACAGGTGACTGAGTTACTGATTACACTGCAGAATTAGAAGCCAGGGGTTGACCACTGGTATACAGAAAGGCTCGAGTTTGTGGTGGGTGTGCATGTTGCTCTCTTTCTCACGTGGTGCTAATGATTTTAGACTCTGTGAAGTGGTTGAATAATTGCTAATGTGCTGATGTTGGTCAATTTCTTTTTCCCTTACTACCTTGTATGTGGTCAAGCTCCTGGGTTTTCCTTAAGTTTGATGATTTGTGTTGCTCTACTGTATGTGCCCGGTCCGTGTGAGCGGCTAAAGTCTTGGGATATATTTCAGTCACTGGGGTTGTTAAGTGACACCACTATGCTGTGACTTTCTTAAAAAGTATGGAGGGATCCAAATGGCTATGTGCTGTGAGGTATCCATGTGCAGAATGAAAACAGTGGAGATGGAGCTGTGGAATGAAGGGAATGGAGCCAATGCAGGCAAGTAGGAGTAGCCCGAGA